TGCAATTTTACTGGTTTTTATATATATGCCTTCTTCGTATTCAGAGTTTGAAATGAAAGTGAAAATCAAAAAAAGATTACGTCGCCTGAGAGATTCGAACTCTCGCGGGGAAACCCCATGTACTTAGCAGGCACACGCCTTAACCACTCGGCCAAAGCGACATTTGATATCCCTTTTTAGAACAGAGCTCGTCATAACAAAGATTTCTATGACATACTTCCGAATCCCTCCGAGAAAAGGTTGTCCAGGAGTGACAAACGATCGGATCGAGTCGAAAATGAGTTAAATAAAAATGGGTAAAATACTCGACTTGACTCATATTTTAAATAGATAAAAATGAGTTATCCAATGAATAATATGAGTATCCATATTATTATAGGTATCATGTTAAAAGCTTAAAAGCAAAAAATATTTCTCACCCCCCACCCCACCCCACGTATTCTTTTAAAAGAAATTTAATTTATAAATTTATTTTTTACTACTTTGATCACCCCCACCATCACTATCCCCTTCCACCCACCCCCAACCCATGCTAAAAAGTTAAATTTATTTTTTAAAAAGAAATTAAATTTATTTTTTACTACTTTGATCACCCCAACCACCAGTATCCCCCGCTTTCCAGCCCCTTCCCCAAAAAAAATTGTTTTTCAAAAAAAAAATTGTGTTTTTCCCTTGTCCCACCCATTCCTACCCCGACCTTCTACACTTTAAAAAAAATATTAATGTCACTTTTATTTCTTTTAAATAAATGAGTCTCTTCTATCCATTTTTACCATTTAACTATCCACTTTTAAATGGGTAGTATGAGTTTGACTCGTTTTTTATTCATTTTTAAATAAGGTGGAATTTGAATGGATATCCATATAAATTGTCCATTTTGTCATCCCTATTCACGATCATATAAGAAGATCTGGTGGATTTGACTATGATACCATGCTAAAAAAATAGATTTTGAACTTAATTCAATTCTAAAAGTCTTTTCATTGATGATTGTCGAAGATCATATAAGAAAACTAAAAATCTTTGAACCCACCGATGTGGGACTCCCAACAACACTTGGCATAAAAAATGTTTTGTAATTGTAATTGCATTTGAGGTAAGAACTCAACCAATTGAACTAATTAAACCAGATCAATTATTCAATGTATTTCACATTATATTTCCGTGCCTCTCCTAAAATGGTTGGTCAATAATCCTTGGGTCAACTTAATTTTAGAATTAATTAAAGATAACATTTCAATCTCATCTTAAATCAAAACGAATTTATATGAAATTCTTAGAAGAAAACAATATTGACCCATATGTACCTTTGACATTTTTGTGGCTTATGGTGATTGGTTTTGGTCCCTTTTTCGTGCATGTGGTTATTTGGACGTTGAACTGACCAAGAATAATGTTCGAAAAAATGGTCATGATATATTATTAACCTTATCCGTTTATCTGACTCGTTAAAGTTTGACTTTACTACTCGGTCAAATTTGATACTCCATAACATACTTTTCTTTAATCTGGCCTAAAATTATTATATTTTCCTATTTATAAGTAATTTAATTTTCAATAATACTATGAAATAGATTAGAAAAATACATTATGTTTTTGGGTCAAGATTTACATATTTTAGCAAATTAGGAAAATGTTCAATAGCCAAATAGTAGAATTATTATTTTACGCTTGATCAAATGATTAATTATATAATATTACTTATAATTTATTTTAAATCACAAAGTTTAATTTCTTTTTTCTTAAACCCTATGGTCGATCAAACAATAGTCTATTACGCTTATTTGATGGTAATATGGACCTCCTTGTGATATAATCGATCATCAGATAGATTTTGAGAAAGATAAAATTTAATTGTCTTGAAACTCTCTATGAATATTCAAGATTTTATGTGATATTCGAGATGCTTCTTCAATAGGATATGTTATCCTCTATATATGCGTGAGCTAGAATTTAGGATAGAAAAACCTTCCGAATCCTACAAAATTTCATAATCTACAAATACCGAGAAAAAACTTGGACCGTGGCAACTAGATCAATATGTTAAGCTTAAAAAATTAGTGATCACCGTAATCCATGACGAAGTGCATGTTCAGTGACGACTTCATTAATTTTATCCACTCTTTGAAGCAATTTTAAACAAGTTGGCAATTAATTTATGCGTTAAAGCAACAAATGGCTGTTAAAAAGTATACTTATTGTTATTGAGGAACTTTCTGTTATTGGTCTTGATGGTGAAGTAATCCCATTTTATCAACTCATTAATTATAGTATTGGGCACCTTATTTCTTTACTTTCACAATTTTTCAACATAATAATTATTTACCCCTTTCTCCCTTCCAGAGAAAGAAAAAGAAAAATTATCCACAACATAATAATTATTTAAGTTATATATAAGGAGTGAAAAAGAAGTTAAGATATAATATCAATGAAAAAATTATCTAATTATAACAGATTATTAATTAATTACTATATATATATCAAACTCACTACGAAGATTTATACATGATAAATACACAAAATCTAAATTCCGTAATTAATTGAAATTGTGAATTTTGTAATTAATTATTTTCTTTTTTCTTAGAAGGGACAAGAGAAAATTCTTTTTTTTTTTTCATTTTTTTTTCAATCTTTATTTTAATAAAACTTGATTGAGAAAACATGTGGTCAAATATCATGGAAATTTCCGCGTAGTCCTTTTACTTGAAAAGTTGCTTCTTCACCATGTCAATGCAAGGCTGAGCTGGCAAGTGGCGCCTAAATTGTTTTTTTAAGAGGCTGCCTAATTTGAAAGTCACAAGTTTCACTCTCTTAAACCTTTTTTTTTCTTCTATATATAGACATCATTTACGTACCATTTTTCCCATATTATCTCTCAACAACTTCCTTTGTCTCTCAAAAAAATATTTACATTCTTTTTTTCTCAAGAATCTATTATACGCAGTCTACCAAAATCAGAACAACAATGATGATTGATGAACATATGTTGATCAAAGTAGGACTCTTTATTTTAGTCCAAGGTTTGGTTTATTTGATTCTATCAAAATCTTCAAACGTATTCTCAAAGACACAAAGATCATACAGCTTTAAAACAGTTCGTTCTTTAAGCATTCGCCGGATTACTGCTGCACTCGCCGACTTACCTGTCGGCGGTGAGCCATCTCCCTCTTCCTTCAAAGATCAGTTGACATCTTCAAAGTCTTTCAAGTTATTCAAAGATCGAAATTAGTAAAGATTTTGTTTTTTATTGTTTTTTTGCTTACGTGAGCTGTTTTTGTATTCTTTGATTTGTTCATGGATAGTTAAATCAAATTAGTTGGTGTGAATTTGGGATATTTAATATTCTCTCATTTTAAATCTTGTAAATTATAAGTTGGTTGGTCATTGTAAAGATTTGAATTATGTGTTCACGATTAAATTTAATCTCCGATAGTAAGGTCTTTTCTATTGAATTTTTCCTTTTTAATGATAGGATAACTAATTAGATGGTCCATAAGGATAATAGCTACGTACTATAGAAGGATTAGTATGAAACCATACATTATATTAATCAAGATAAGATAAATGGTTGTATATTTTTATTGAGTTTAAGTTTTTGCATGATTGGTAATTTTTAAGATAAATATAGTAACTTAATTAAGTACTTAATAAAATATCTTTTTGAATATAATTATAGTTACGGTAAAATATAGTAAAGCAAAGTTGAATCCCCTTTATTCTCTAATCAAAATTAATTCATAATTATCTTCTTAATTAACTAAGTTTATTTGCTTTTCTACCTTTGAATTTTTTTTTTTGTTTCTATCTCTTTATCTTCTTGTCCGATTAATTAATGACTTTGTCAAAAATTCAAAAGAAAAAACAATGACAATTAAGAAATTATTTGTGGCATTGAAAAATTACTTCTGATAAAAAAAAAACAGATTTAGAAAACCAAATAAACTTGGTTAATTAAGATGATATATAACTATGAATTAATTTTGGTTAGAGAAGAAAGAGGACACAACTTTCCTTTGCTATATTTTGCCGTAATTGAAATCATATTCAAAAAGACATGTTTTCATTAATTACTGAATTATGTTACCATGTTTATCTTAAAAATTACCTGATGGTGTAAAATCTTATATATACACTAACCGCGCACAAAACTTAAACTCATTTTTATTTCCCTAGATGGTTGTTGATTTGCGACTTTGACAGCTGACTAACTACATATATCCTAAAAGGATCACCACTAATTAATCACAAAAATTAAAAATATCATCCTTGGCCTACATGTTGTGCAGTTGTGGTTATTAATTTGCAAATGGTAATTATGGAGGTTGGGTAGGTACTAGTCGTTATCTCCATTTTTAAAAAGCCATAATTATATTAGCCCGAGTGTACACAACCGAATCAAACCGCAAATTGAATCAAACCGGAAAAAAACCCGACTAGTGATTTGGTTTGGTTTGATTTTAACTAAAAAAAATCAACCCGACATTATATATGTAATTTTAAAATTTTATTTTATACATAAAAGTATTTACATTGATATAATTTTAAAATATTTCTTATACTATTTCATAGTTTTTATTTTTTAATATATTATTTCAAGTTTAAAACTTAGAATTCGGAATGGTCCAATAAAGATTCACTACAAGAAAAAAGATCTTTAGCGAAGGGAAGTTTGGTCGTTAAAAGCCCAAACGCAACATAAATTCCGGTCGTTATATGTCCTTTTTAGCGACCAGATTTGCTCTTAAACCAACTTCTTCTAACGACCATTACTCCTTTCGTTAATTGTAGGTTAGTTTCGATACCAATACTATTAATGACCAAATTTTCCATCGCGAATGATCGTTTCAATATTGTATAATAAAGGCAGCCATAAAAGAATTTCAAAGACCCCATTTTCATTTGCTATTATACGAAAAATTATACTAGTGAATAATATTAATTATGTAATCCATGGAAACACTTGGAAATATATGAAACAATTTAATTCATCATATAAAACTTCATTGTTAATACAAAAATCTAATTAAAGAAAGATATATCATATTCAAGTAGCCTAACATATATTTATCAACCCCTAACAAGAAAAAAGTTGCAACATATATAAATAATAAAATATTGTCTTTAGACCACCCTTAACCAAAGTAAAAGCGCTCTTGATCTTCAACTTGCTCCTTACTTTCTTGAACGACATATTCAAATGCTTGAGCTTTAAACAAAAGAAGTTTATGTCAATTAGTAACAAAGAATAAACAGTCGAAGTTGCAACTATAATGTGCATGCCAATATGCTAGGAGAATACATTTTGAAGTACATATTATTGTATAACTGTAACACAATTTAGGATCAAAAGGACAAAAAAGAAGGATGCTATCTAAATAAGAAAAGAAAAATACTGTAAAGGAAAAAAATATAAGGCTTAGCTTCCAAAGCAGTGTATTTACTGGATCCAAGTAACCAATCCACAATAATTTGTGCATCATAAACTTGAGATCTGACATTGGCTGGTTCAAGACAAGAACATTAGCAAATAATTCAGATTCAGAGCAATTTTCATATGTGCGTCAATTTTAGGCACACCAAGCATTGAAAAGATGGACTACTTTGTATTATTCTGTAAATAGTATTTTACAGACAACCACATATTCTAGTCACTAGAGCAACATTAAACACAATCAGATGACTATATTCATATCCTTGACACTTTATTTTCTTTTTACATTCACAATAATAGAACACATATCTGTTGTGGACTTGGTCCACATTTAAACCCAAAAAAAATAAAAATAGAACACATATCAAAAAATATTTGCAACGTTTGAAATCGTGATAACAGGACACATGAGTTCATCAAGAGCTTAGTGTGTAATAATCTTGAAAGGATTCAACAAACATAAAATGCATGAAAGTGATGAGGACTTTATTAGCTTTTATAATTAACCTCCTTCGGAATGTTATTTATGCATTTAACTTCCGCAGTTTTCACAGATTCCAAACCATTACCACATTCATCGCCACCACAGCCTTCACAACCACTGTTTTTCAACCTATTTCCTCAACAACCTCGTCCACAATGACCACAACAGAAAAAGGATCAAAAGGGATGAAGGACATATTAACAAATCAAAAATCATAGCTACAAGTCCAACAGATCGAGAAGCATATAAATCAACACAACTACAACACTTTCATTACATCGAAATCTAACACAGGAAGGAAACGAACAGTTCATTACATCGAATACTTAAAAATGAACAGCAAAAAACTAAGAAAATAAATTGGGCAGACAAATGTTAAACTCGTAAAATGAACTTACTCAACAGAAACTATAGGTTATAAGGAAAATTACACGTTTCCTGCAACGATCAACCAAATGAACACATAGGTAACTTTATCACACATTTGAATCTGGATATCACAAAACACATCCAACACTTCACAAGTTTAGCAGAGATGTCTTGGTCAAACTCGACCACCATATTACGAGCAGATTTATTTCCATTAGATTTGGTTTAGGTCAACAACTATATTAGTGTACATCAACCAAAAACAAAACACTTTTCTTAGATCTTTTTATGTTGATTGTCTTTTCACAATCAAATTCTAGTACTTTGAAGTAATAAAACCTTATAGAACAAACCAGCAAATACATACATACATATATATATATATATATACACACACACACATAGATATACTTGTATACAGTTGCAATTACCAGGTCTAAGAGATTTAGAACATTGGCATGTGTGTTAGATTTGTGCAGGAAGAATTTCTTCAATTTGAGGGCTAATAAGTAGGATCAGATATGTGATTATTGTCAAACATGGAGACCTAAACCACTTGTGTTCTAATGTTTCAACAGAGCCATATGGAGTTGGTCTCTGGAGAAGTATAAGCAAGTTATCGGAGGAGTTCTCTCAACACAAGCGCTTAATAGCAGGGAATGGACAACATATCAGTTTCTGGAGAGACAAAAGGATAAGGCCGCTGGCCTTTAATGGTTGCTTATCCTAATATGTTCCACAAAGCAACGGAGCCAAACTCTACCATTCAACAATATAGAGAAGGGAATTCTTGGAACATCATCCTCGAAAGGGACATACAGGATTGGGAATTGGAGAGTTGGTCAGCCTACTAGCATCACTTCACGATGTTGCAATTAACAGATATTGAAGGCTAAAAAATACATTGAGGAGGCTGTTAAGATTGAAACTAATTTGATACAGATAATATTCTCAATCAAAGTGATGTACAAGAAGTTGATAGGTGTTAATGTGAGTTAGAGGAGACTAAAGTGTAACAATCCAGGCTTACTAATGTTGTTATTCCTCTTATACATGACTGTTCATGAAATATTATATACTAAAGGTAGGATGCTAAAAAGGGGAATGCAGGTCTATCCCATGTCTGCTTAGTGACAATGAATTGGAAAATATAGAATGCTTATTTTTTGAGTGCTCTGTAGCTTCCTATGTGTGGAGAAGAGTATTGCATGGGAAAGGAATCAACCAACAAGTTATGAATTGGGTAATTGGAGAAATAGTAGTATGAAATTGTGTACAAGGCAAGTGCAATGCTACTTTTATTATCAGAATGGCACTTGCTGCATATGTCTATGAATTGTGGCTTGAAAGAAACAATAGAGTTTTTCAAAGTACATGTCGTTATGAGGATATCATTGTGAGGAAAATTAATCAAGACGTTTCTTCTCTAGCGAGCATGCACAGAAAGTTGTCTAGGTGTTTGAATCAACTAAATTACTGTCAAGTCAAGCAACTGGATCTGTTCGGGAAGTTGGATTAAGACCTATTGTTATTTTAATTTTTTTGGGTTGTACAATGTCACAAAAAAAAAAAAAAAAAGCAAGATCAGTCATATTCGAGCAAATTTCAGAAGTTTAAAAACAAGCTACAACATTCAACTTACAAAAGAACCAATACTACAACATTAACAGAACTATATCCCCTAAATGAACCACATTAATAACACCATAATAGAACAACCAACTCCAAAAAAAAAAAAAAGAACACGACCTCATATCCCTTAACAATCACTAAGATAATTGTTTGTTTCTTGACAGCAATACTCATGCAGACAAAAAAATTTAAAATGTAAAAAAAAAAAAAAAAAAAAGCAAGATCAGTCATATTCGAGCAAATTTCAGAAGTTTAAAAACAAGCTACAACATTCAACTTACAAAAGAACCAATACTACAACATTAACAGAACTATATCCCCTAAATGAACCACATTAATAACACCATAATAGAACAACCAACTCCAAAAAAAAAAAAAAGAACACGACCTCATATCCCTTAACAATCACTAAGATAATTGTTTGTTTCTTGACAGCAATACTCATGCAGACAAAAAAAAAGACAGAACCAAATCTCCCCTCAACCACCAAAACCAAACAAAGTCCTTCCCTGTCTCATGAGTGCATCACAAAGAAAAATAATTCATTTACTAACCTGTTAAATGGCACCATCTATTGATCACTTGACGATGGTGGTGTTGAAGGATGACCAAGCAATACTCTTGCAAGTTTTTCATATTTACTCTGTAGCTCATCCATGCGTTCACATTTATTCTCTAACTCATCCATGAGTCTTTTTAGTGATTCATTCTCTTTTCACGTGCATGAAACTTATCTAATAGCACAACCTTTGAAGAGTTCCCACCTTTCAACACCTTAGCAGTTATCCCACCATCAAATTCAACTACATGACTCTTACATTGAGGTCCAAAACACTTTTCTACTACCTCAATATAGTAAGAGACGTTAGATTGAACCAATTCTTGGATTTCAACCTATAAAATACAAGAAAAATTAAAATAATACAACACATCAAGTTAAATGATTTAAAATAAAATTTATCACTAGACATACATATTTTGCATTTGTTTCAAGTTTGACAAGCTTGTTATTGTTCTTATGAGTCTCGAAGAAGATAATATCCATGTTTGGTTGCTTACCATCTTTACCTCCCTTCACATATGAATAAACAAGTCAAAGAAATCATTCGAACAAACAAGAGGTGTTTTAAAGAGTTACAAGAGTTACTTACCAATTCATAAACAATCTCTTTGATAGGCTTACTACCCGTACGATGAGGCATACTCAAATTAGACCTATTAATGGAGTTTCTTGTGCTTGTTTCCTATATTAACAACAGCCCATAAAAATTATAGTTAGTCACTTCAAATAATATGTTAATAAATAACAACTATGAAGTAATACCTTTAACTTTTCATTTAAGAAATATTCCTTAACCAACCATTCCCAATCACTCTTGTCTACCACCCTCATCACATCTTTTATAGCATCGCAAAATGGCTTAGACTTCATATTTTTGTGCAGTGATCCTCTTCCACAACCTTCTCATATGTAGAAGAACATGTTTTTTATCATTCGTGTTGTCATTGGTAAATTTATCCTATAATAGTTCACAAGTATCATTAAGCTTAAACTCAAAATTTCAACCAAACTAGAAGTCTACAATTGAATCTAGATTTCCTGCTTATGGCACTCTTGTAGTGGAAGATGATATATATGTCACAAGAAATGAGTGATTATCCAATGGATTGTATCAAAAGAAAAAAAGGAAAAAAAAAGAGATAAGAAGATCAAGAGAGGAGACAACACAAACAACAACAACATATAGCCATCTGTAAGCAAACATAGCTAAAGTACTATATAGATATGAGTGCAGGTTGGTATGAAATGTGCTGCATTATAAACGAAGCTATTAGCTAATAGCTCTCTAAATACTTACCGTGGCAGCATCCCACATGTGTTCTAGTTTATCTTCTTAAATGTCTCCATGAATGTACCCTCAATAGGCACATATTGCGATCATGAACTAAAATACCCAAGTGTCTCGCAACTAAGGCATAATGCTTTCCAACAACTCAATTCTGGGAAAAAGTGATACTTATTAACTTTTCTCCAGCTTTGAGTCATGCTACATTTTTACAAATGTTCGTTCCTCTCACTCTTTTTGCCTTATCAAATTCACGTGCACCTGCAAATTAATTCAATTCAGACATAAACAAGAGTTTCATTTAACTAAAAACAACAAAGATAACAATTTGAGACAATAAATACTTATTTCATTTGTTTGAGTATCTTGCATCACTTGAACTTCTGGAGAGCAGGTAACATTTTCTTAATTGGATCAAAACCAGGAGGTACAGTAATATTATTTTGTATGGGCTCATTTTGATAATGTTGATGCATTAAATGTTCATACTTTGGTCAATTGGAATTCTTTTTTCAGCCCTTACTCTTGTAACATTTCCCCTCGTCCCCTAATTGCTAAGGCACCAAGTGAAAGGTATGCATGCTTATTAGGATTGACAATAGATGCCATTCCAGAGTTCTGAATTTTTGTTGGATTCATGTAAACCTAATACAAAAACAATCCATTTGTAAGTTCACCAACGACAGAAAAATCATTTGTTTATTAAAAACTAATCACCAACAAAGATCATTAATACTACAACTTTCAAGGATATTATCAAACACAAGAAATGAGTAAACAATAGTAGATTTTTGACTAAAATCATCCCTAAACTATAGCCTAAACTCAAGGTACATCCTTATAATAAAAACATCCCTTAACTATTTACAAAATGGGAAGATTCATCCTTATGTTACTTTCTGTTAAGAAATTAACGGTTGCAAGCAAGCACATGACTTTCCTAAAATAAAAATCCCCCAAATGTGGTCCTCCACACCTCGCCTCAGCTGTTCCAACCTATAGCTAACGTCTTAATATTTTGTGATCATTAACCAACTTAATTTCTTAAGACAAATATGCTTTAGCTGGAAAACTTACAACAAAATCAGATGTATACAGCTATGGTGAGGTTCTTCTAGAGCTATTGACAGGCCGTTTACCAATTAATACAAAGCTGCCTACTAGAGAACATGTGCTTGTCTCATGGGTCAGAAACTAATCCTACACAAGTCCAAACGTTACACTAATTAATATTTTCACCAGTTCTAGAATGTTACATGCCTTTCTGCATGCTGCATGAACTGATAGTATAGCAGTTATTTATAATATTGTCGGTGTACAAAAGTTAATATCAACAGTGAAACTATTACCCTATACAAGATTCAGGGGTTTAATTGAAACAATGCCTGAATCAATTTTCTCTGTTATATTAAGTTCTTCCAAGGTTGACAAATAGAGAAAAAGTATTTGAAATGGTAGATTCAACATTACAAGGGCAGTACACGAAGAAGGATCTAATCCAGGTGAATGTTAAATAACATTATAGTACTTTTTAATCCTCATTCCTGTAATACTACGTATGAAACCAAATCTAATGTTTCATCTTTCTTTGCTAAAACAGGTAGTTGTTATAGCAGCAATGTGGATGCAAACAACAGATTATCTTCCGTTAATGATGGATATTGTGCAATCCTTCTGAAAGTATTTAAGACCAAGCTTATAGTTTCATGGAACTTAGGTGACAATTTCTATTTCAGTTTCGCGACACACTTAACTGTAAAGATTACACAAGATTCAAGTACACATTCATAATTTTATTCAGTTTATGTGATTAGACGAGAACTTCCATTCCTATTTCGTACTGCTCTGCAAGTAAAAATACATCAGTTTCCTCCAAGTTCAACTTGCAGTCCATTCTCTATAAAATGAGATGCAAATCACTCTTCATTATCTCGCCTCGTTTTATTGTCAATCAATGATACTAACAAGAGCGCTCACATTGGTACATACAACATATATGCTTACAACTAATATACTCTCAAGTGCATGGACACCAAAAAAAGAAAAAAAAAACGAAATGGAATCATCAATCATATAGTGCAAATTCAGAATTGGGGAAAATACAAAATAGGGCAAAACCAAGCATTTCACAAAGCAATTCATAGTTATAATAATAAAATTTTACCTTGAAGAGAACAGAACTTCAAGATTGCATCCGAATAATATGAATCACAACAAGGTCACAACCTCATTTTGTTGTTCTGGGATCAAAACAAAGAGACCCAAATTACCTCTTTATAAGCTGGAATAGAGCGACGTCTGTATCTCTACCTACTAAGTTTCCTCTAACAAATCTGGGAAATATGCACAATTGTGTATCTCTGTTTTGCTGATTTTACTCTAACACAAGGGAGAGAAGCATGTGTTGCACAATTTCCTCTAAGTTTTGCTTTTTTCTAACTTCATCGGTGATGTCTTGCTTACTGCTTGATAATTCTCACAATAAAACCAGAAACGCCAACTTCACCGATAGAGTATGTTTTTCACGAAGGAGAGGTGTGGGTGCGTGGAGAGACGTGTGTGGTTGAACAAAATAAAGAGGGAAATATTATTATGTATTTGAGAAAATAAAGAAGGAAATAATTTCACTTGACCAGCGCTTTTAATTTTTAATTACAATTAACATCGGGATACTAATTTTTTTAACATCAGGATATTATTTCGTTATTAATATTAAATTAAAAAATGATCTTTAACGACGGAAAAAATTTGGTGTCGATATAAATAGACTTTTACCGACCAGATTCATATCCCTTCGTTAAGAATTGGTCGTTAAAAGTGCAATTTCTTGGAGTGATTATAGTTCATAGATGTTGATAATTATAATAAAACTTAAATCAAAATCAAATTAATACTAATGCAAAAAGAAAATCACTTCAACACTAAGAATGACAATAATATTGAATATTTGTTCTTTAGTTTTACATTGGTTTAGACAATTAAAATACACAATCTAATTTTAATTTTCCTTAAATATTTAGTAATGTAACTAATACTTATTAAACTTATTTTAGCATGATTTAGTACTTTTAAATTATGATAATTTTCATTATGACTTTGCAATATTTATTTTATATGATGATTTCATTATTATT